TAACATGTCTAGATGAGATCTTATACAATTTTCCTTTTCTGTTGTCACTTTCCTTAGTGTTGCAGTGGGAACTGAAAGAATGTTGTTATCTGTTTGTTCGCGAGGACCCTGTAAACTCAGGCCCTTGTAGCCAAAATAGGTTGCCTGTCTTCAGAAGCAAAATAAAAGCATTGTGCTCCTCGTCAGCTATAGGCACACCGAACACACAGGACTCACTGGATGTTGTCACAGATGAAAGATTTCACATCTCCCTTCAGTACTGCTTGGTGAAGGTAGTCTTTCTCCTCCCTCTGGGAGAAAACCTATGCAGCCCCCATGACATTTCTGCCCACTTTCATATAATAAAAACTTGTGCCTGACCGGCGTGGCTCAGTGGTTAAGCGTCGACCCATGAACCAGGAGGTGACGGTTCGATTCCCTGTCAGGGCACATGTCCCGGTTACAGACACGATCCCCAGTAGGGGGAGGTGCAGGACACAGCTGATCAATAATTCTCTCTCATCACTGATGTTTCTCTCTCTCTCCCTTTCCCTTCCTCTCTGAAATCAATAAAAATATATATTTTTAAAAAATAAATAAATAAAAATCTGTAAGTCCACTTTAAATTGCAAACTGAGTCTCAGTCACAGGAGTACAAATGCCTCGCACAAGACATTAACAATCTCTTCAACCCTCACTGAAAGGTAAGGCTTCTCTCCCTGGCGGTGGGCACATAAACCTACTTTCTCTCCCACCTGGCATGTCTGCTTCTCCCTGAGCTGGGTCTGCTTCCTGGGTGGGTCCAGGCAGGGAGAGGAAGAACGTTAGGGCAATAGGACAGTGGTCACTTGAATGACCACATGGTAAAAGGCTTCGAGCTCTGTGGGCAGCTGGAGCTTAAATGTTCTCTTTCTCTTTCAGAATGTGTTTGGTTTGAGGTCCTTGAGGAACTCCCCGGCATTGGGGCCCCTCCTGCAGCTCCTGCAGGTGATTGATTGTTATTTGATTGACCTGCCAGTAATTGGGAGAAATATGTTGAAATATATTTGCAATACATGTGTGCATTATATATTTTGAGGCAACCTGGTGTGCCACATTTAGAATTAGTGGGGATGTGTACTTGGTTGAGCCGTGTACTATTCTACAGGGATCCTCTTTCCCTAACAGTGCCTGTGCTTTGCAGTCCCTTTTACTTGGACTCCCCTGACGTACTTATGACAGCCATGCCTGCCACAGCTTTTGAGTAGAATAAGCTTCTTTTCTTTTTCTCTTACCTTTTTACCTTCAAACGTTCTCTGCCCTTATAGTTGAAATATGTTTCTTATAAATAACATATAGCAGGGTTTGTTTGTTTTATTTCTGATGTTTTGTTTCGTGCTTGCTATTTGCCTACATTTTTATGTTTGATTTTGTTTTTACTTTACTGCCTTCTTTAAATTGACTTTTTCTCTTATTTCATTTTCCACTTAGCTGCCTTGGAAACTATATACTCCCCATGTATTCTTTTTTTTAATAATATATTTTTATTGATTTCAGAGAGAGGTAGAAACATCAATGATGAGAGAGAACCATTGATCGGCTGCCTCCTGCACCCCCCCTACTAGGGATCAAGCCCGCAACCCAGGCATGTGCCCTTGACCAGAATCGAACCCAGGACCCTTCAGTCCTCAGAATGACGCTCCATCCACTGAGCCAAGCCAGCTAGGGCTCCCCGTGTATTCTTTTGTAGTTGCTTTGGAAATTTCACCAGGCCCAATTGTGGCAGGCGGACTGATACCCCCACTCAAAGGTGTCCATGTCCTAATCTCCAGAACCTGTGAGAATGCCACCTCACAGGGAAAACTGACTTTGAAATGGGACGATGTTAAGAATCCTGAGACGGAGAATTATCCTGAGTGTCTGGGTGGGCCCATTTTCATTACAGAGTCCTTAGAAGAGAGAGACAGGATGGCTAGACTCCAAGAAGGCGGTATGATGACAGAAGCAGAGAGAAGGTCTGTAATATGCTGCACTGCTAGCTTTGAAGACAGAGGATGAGATCTTTCAGCTAGAAAAGGCAAAGAAAGAGATGCTTTTCTAGAACCAGTCTCAGGAATGCAGCACGACTGAACCACCGTAGACTTCTTACTTCCAGAACCATAAGAGAATAAATGTGTGTTGGTTTAAACCACTAAGTTTGTGGTAGTTTGTGACAGAAACTAATTATTTGGAAACTAATGCAGATTGTGGTGCCTGAAAGTGGCATGCTACTGTACCTGCGAAAGTGGCTTTGGAATTGGGCAGTGGCAGAGATTGGAAGAACTTTGAGGCGCACGGGAGAAAAATGCTAGGTTGCCTTGATCAGACTGTAGGTAGAAATATGCATGTTGAAGGAGCTGTTGAGGTTGCAGGCTTTACCCCTCGTAGGGAGCGTGCAGGAGGCAGCTCATCGATGATGTTTCTCTCTATATATTCTTCTCTCCCTCTCTCTCTTCCTCTCAGAAATCAAGAAAACATGTTTTAAGGTGTTGTTGGTAAGGACACAGAAGGAAATGAGGAACGTGAAAGAAAGTGGGGGAAAAAGAGATCCTGGTTATGTTGTTGGCAGAAAACTTAGCTCAGTGGTGTGTCCTATAGTTGTGTGGGAATCAGAATGTAAAAGTGATGACGTCTGATATTTAGCTGAAGAGATTTCCAAGCTAAATGCTGAAGGTTCATCCTGATTCCTTCTTGCTGCTCACAGTAAAATGCAAGAGGAAAAAGATAGCTCAAACACTGGTAAGAAAAAGAAGAAGTGGACTTGATGATTTAGGAAATTCTTTGCTTAACCAGATTTCAAAAGATGCTAAAATTATGAGATTCACAGTCAGGGGAGCATTCCTTGGAGAGAAGAGCCAATAGTATGGCTGGACAACCGTTGGCTAGTGCCTTAAACCCTTAAACCAGGCATTATTCTTACTGTTTTAAATATTAATTATTTAGATTTACTTATATGATTACCAGTTTCTTTGCTCCCCGCTCAATCTTACAATTCAAACCTTGTGTCTGGAGTGATTATCCTCCTTTCTGGCGCACAGGCAGGCCTTGTTTTACTGAGCTTCACTTCACTGTGCTTCGCAGATATTGTGTTTTATACAAATTGGAGGTTAGCACCCTCTTCCAGCAAAAAGATTATGATTCACTGAATACTCAGATGATGTTTAACATCATTATTGTTTTAAGCAATAAAATATTTTTACTTTTTAAAAATATTTATTGTTGAAAATATTACATATGTCTCACCTCCTCCCTCCCCCCCAATTCACCTCTTCTAGCCAGCCCCCTGCCTCCACTTCAGGCCTTCACCACCCTATTGTCTGTGTCCATGGGTTACACATATATGCATACAAGTTCTTTGAGTGAACTTTTCCCACCCACCTTCCCTCTGAGATTCGACAGTCTGTTCCATACTTCTAAGTTTCTGGATCTAATTTTGTAGGTACATTTATTTTTGGCATACTATTATTGCACCCTTAATAGACTACAGTATATTGTAAGGATAACTTTTATATGCACTGGGAAACCAAAAAATTTGTGCGACTCACTTTATTGTGATCATTTGTTGCAGTGATCTGGATCCAAACTCACAATATCTCTGAGGTATGCCTGTATATTATTAGAAATTCCTTAAGTGAGGGGGTGTTGGTAGCAATCTCAGTTTTTATTTGAAAATACCTTTCCTTCTCCCTCACTGTTAAAATAAAATTTTACAAGGTATACAATTCCAGGTTAATCTGTGGCATACGGAGAGGGCTCGATTAGAGTGATTTCCTCCAGAAAGAATTTGCATTTTCTTTTTCTGAGTTGGGTGGGGAGGGCGTAGCTGAGCATGACGATGTCTCTCAGGCTTTTGAGTGTATTTTCTAATGTTCTATGGCTCCCATTGTTGCTGTGAGAAGTTGGCTGTCAGTGTCATTACTGAGTTTTGAAGGCATTCTCTTTCTAACAGTTTATAAGATCTAATCTTTATTATTGGTGTTCTGCAGTTTCATTGCAAGGTTTCTAGAAATGGAGTTCTTTTTGTTAATCTTCCTTAATTTAGGTTGAGTCTTGGATCTGTTGGCTCATCTGATCTTAAAAAATCTCAACTCTTATCTTTTAGACTATCTCTCTCCTCTCATTTAGTACTTTGATTAGACTCCTTTCAGACTTTCTTATTCTATCCTTTGTACTTTGTGGCACTTTTATATATGGGCATTCTCTTCATCTCACTGTGCAAGTCTCTCTTCCAGTTTGTTAATTCTCTTTTCAACTATGTCTACTCTGTTGTTTAATCCATCCACTGAGTTTTTAATTTTAATTACTATGGTTTCTTTTATGAAAGTTCTATTTTAGTACTGTTGTTTTTCAAATGTGGCCAATCAGTTGATAGTCTCTTGGTTGATTTTTAAACTTTTATTTTAAATATATATATAATAAATGTATATTCTGTTTAATATCTCCAATATATATGTACTTGGAGGTTTATATCTATTATTATTCTGTGGACACTCACTCATGATGGCTTTTTTCCTCATGTGTGTAGAATTTTTTATTATGAGTCAATATTTTGTTGACCTTAGTCTGTGGCATACTGAGGGAATCAGTTGGAATTATTTTCTCCAGAAAGTATTTGCATTTTATTTTTCTGGGTATTGATGGGGAGGGAGTACTTGAGCATTACCAACCTGGTACCTTAACTAAAAATTTCAGTAGGCCTTTGACCAGTACTTCTCAAAGAAATTCCCAACGAAAACTATTTCTTCTTTTTCTTTTAACCAGGTGCTACGTGATTTTTTACTGTGTATATGTTGATAAAATTGAAATATTTAAAAACAAAGATTAGTCCATTTTGGACCTGCTGTATTCATAGGTTTAGTACAGTCCTTTTTAAAAATAATTTTGTGCTACACAGCCTGGCTACCAAAGAATTATTGACCAAAAGCTAAGTGGACAAACAGAACTTTGAACTTTAATAAGGCAGGTCCAGTGAACCCAGACCTGGCTGAGCAGGCCTGCTGGCCAGGGCCTAAAGATAGCTGTAAAGGGGCAAAGTAAATCAATTAACTCCATGGTGTTCATCTCTTGATATCAAAACTTCTTTCTTTACACGCTTCTCCTCTGATCCTGTGGAGATGAAAATTGACATCCATAATCATATTCTACCAAAAGAATGGCCAGATCTAAAAAAGGTAATGGTGACTAATTTGCTGAATTATTTTTGGAATTTCTCCAGGGTTTCTCAATGCCTCTATTATAAACCTAGCTTTTCTTGGAGGAATTAGATGTTAAGTTTCTCTGCTTTAGGAATGCTTTAAAATTATTTCGTAGCTCTGATTTCTTAGTTTTAAAAAATAACTTTTATATTAATTTTGAAAGAACATTGATCAAAAACGTCTCTCTCAAAATTCCTTTCCCCCCTTAAATGAAGCATTCTTTAAAAGCTCTGGACAATTTAAGTCAGGCAGTTTCACTTCCATTTGAATAACATATTCAGCTGCTGGGAAGGGAAGATGCATGCCAACTACAGAATTGAAAGTTACAGTTTCAAGTAAGAGACTATTAAAAAATGGAATGTGACAGGCTTCCGGGATTTCTCCAGCAGATCTCCTTTCCAAAATGTTTAAAATAAGATTTAGAAGCACCAAGATATAACTTATGGATTTTTTTTATAGTCTATTTTAGGGTGCTGCCTGAAATCTTTCCTTTTTGATGTTCTTTAAGCTGTAAATCCTCGTTATGAACAAGAGAGAAGGAACATCAAAAACCCCAGAGGAAATGACATGAGGCCTTCGAACAATGAGAGTCTCTAAAGACTCTGCTCTGTGCTTCTCCAAAGATGGCTATTTCCTCTTGGCATTAAAAACTTTTGAATGAATAACTGTAACTGAATAAAACCACTAGGAAGGTGGGAGACATGAAAGAAATCTAAAATTGGCTTGAGTTTTGTTCAGGCTAATTATCAGATTTTACCCAATCTTAAGCCTTCTCTAGAACTTTCACACCACTGATAATGTTTCACCTTTTTATCCCAAGTGAGGAAAAATGGATTAACCTAACCTCTGATCAAATAGTGGCGCATTGTGCAAGTAGCGGACACAATTTTCTTCTCACCGTTGACTCCTGGAAGAATGTTAACCTTAAGTGTTTCTTTGTTCATTGGTATTTTAGGTAAGATGGGTGGTAGGCATTGAGGATTGAAAAAAAGCTAACCCCATCAAACTCACCCCTCCAAAAGGAGTCTGAGTGCCTACCTGGGAACTTGCTGTTCTGAATGCTGTTTTCCTCGCCATATTTTATTAAAGCGTAAACACAACTTCACAATGTTTGTGATGATGACCCAGCGCAGCCTAAAAGGGTTCCTCCTCTGCTAAGGGCGGGGGGGGGGGGGGGGGGGACTGTATCCTGTGCCACAACCTGCCTCCCAGGACTTGTCTCCCACCCAGAAGCCTGCCTCTAGTGTGAGCAGAGAACTGGTCACCAAGAGCTGATCCCTTCTAAGTGCCACCTAATGCAGGGCCCTAAAGGTATTGTGAAAACTCCTTAGGAAGCTGAGGGATGCAGAGCATGGAGGCTATAGCCATAAATGTGTGCCTGGAGACTCGGCAAACATCTATTCTCCGGGCTCTTTAGCCCACCTCCCCTTCCTATCTCCTAGCTGTTGCCTCCAAGAGGGAGGGGCATTTTGTCCTGATAAACCAGGCTTCCATCTAGCAGTCTCACAAGCTGCAAGCAGATAACAGATACACATGATGATAATGATAATAATGATGATGATGATGATGATGATGATGATGATGATGATGATAGTAGTAGTAATAATAATCATAATACTCCTATACTTCCAGGGAGCAATATGTAATTTGATCCACATAAAATTTTGCTAACTGCAAAATTTATAGGATTTATATTATTAACGCTGCTGGATTAATAAAGTCCAGGAGACTCAGAAATGAGCTTAGAATCCCAGAGCTATGTGGGATCATGGCGGCCCCTCCCCACTACCACCACCACACCCAGCTGAGAGAGCTGGCCCAGGAGAACGGCACTGCTATAAGGGATGTCCCTGCTTCCTTTTGCCGCCCCCACCCCAAGTGCCTCCCTCGACACCAGCCCGCTACCAAACACACCCCAAACCCACCTAGGGTTCATCATGGGGTATTGGAACCTGGCTTCCAACCTGCATGTCAAGCAACCAGATCTGTTATATGGTAGAGTTTTGCATTTGAGTGCAGGCAAGCCAGTGACAAAACAATGAGCAGAAAACGGTTCTGTGTTTTCGAATTGGGAGGAGTGAGATAAATAAAAATACATGAAATGGTGCTGGGACCCATCTCCCTCTCTCCGCATTTTCAAACTATGTGGTCAGAGTGAGCATTGAAGTGACAGTGGTTAAGAGCAGTCTTCTTTGGTGTTCATATAGTTCAACAGTTCCAGCAGATTTTCCTTTGCCTTCCATTTGTTTCTTTTTTTTTTTAATTAAATCTTTATTGTTCAGATTATTACATTTGTTCCTCTTTTTTCCCCCCCATAACTCCCCTCCTCCCAGTTCCCACCCCACCATCCGCCCTCACTCCCCACCCACTGTCCTCTTCCATAGATGCACGATTTTTGTCCAGTCTCTTTCCGCATCTCCCACACCCCTTTCCCCCCCAAGAATAGTCAGTCCATTCCCTTTCTATGTCCCTGATTCTATTATAATCACCAGATTATTTATTCACTTGATTCTTAGATTCACTTGTTGATAGATGCATGTTTGTTGTTCATAATTTGTATCTTTACCTTTTTCTTCTTCTTCCTCTTCTTAAAGGATACCTTTCAGCATTTCATATAATCCTGGTTTGGTGGTGATGAACTCCTTTAGCTTTTCCTTATCTGTGAAGCTCTTTATCTGACCTTCCGTTCTGAATGATAGCTTTGCTGGATAAAGTAATCTTGGTTGTAGGTTCTTGGTATTCATCACTTTGAATATTTCTTGCCATTCCCTTCTGGCCTGCAAAGTTTCTGTTGAGAAATCAGCTGACAGTCGTATGGGTATTCCCTTGTAGGTAACTGCGTTTCTTTCTCTTGCTGCTTTTAAGATTCTTTCTTTGTCTTTTGCTCTTGGCATTTTAATTATGATGTGTCTTGGTGTGGTCCTCTTTGGATTCCTTTTGTTTGGGGTTCTCTGTGCTTCCTGGACCTGTAAGTCTATTTCTTTCACCAGGTGGGGGAAGTTTTCTGTCATTATTTCTTCAAATAGGTTTTCAATATCTTGCTCTCTCTCATCCTCTGGCACCCCTATAATTCTGATGTTGGTACGCTTGAAGCTGTCCCAGAGGCTCCTTACACTATCTTCGTATTTTCGGATTCTTTTTTCATTTTGCTTTTCTGGTTGGGTGTTTTTTGCTTCTTCGCGTTTCGAATCTTTGACTTGATTCTTGCGCTCCTCTGGTCTGCTGTTGGGTGTCTGTATAATATTCTTTATTTCAGTCAGTGTATGCTTAATTTCTAGTTGGTTCTTTATCACGACATCGAGGGTCTCATTAGATTTCTTGAGGATCTCACTACATTTATCGGCGGTCTCACCAGTCTTTTCGAGGGCCTTACTAAGTTTATCGGCAGCTTCTAGACAGTTCTTGAGAGACCTTAAAAGTGTGGTTTTGAGCTCTATATCTTCCATTTCTGACATTTGCGTCCTGTTTCTTTGTCTCCGCATTTTTATATCTTTTCTTGGTGCACCCCCTAGTGGTCTTTGTGCTCAGTCTTGTAGTTAAGCCTTGATTGTTGTCGGTAATACCAGGGGTGATTTGACCTCCAGGCTAACTGGCCCCATTTGTTTCTTAGGGGGCAAAATATTTCAAAGCAGCCATCTCTGATCTTTTCTCACCATTTTTTCAAACTTTCCAATAAAAGAATGAAGAGAATAAACCAGCACTAGTTTTATGTTAGAGAATGAAGCCTGTTTGGAAGAACGAACATCTCTTTTCAAACCTGAACTTTTAAAAAATTAAATATTAATAGACACACCTCAAAAACCTTGCTCTCCTTATGCAACAAAGAAACAGAAAAGCAGAATCAACATGCCGGCTTGATGATTAACTAATTATTACAAAAGACTAGGATTTGAGAAAGCTTTTCATTTTCACTTGCTAATATGTCAGAGTTAAAATTAAGATCTGTGAGGCAAAAAGAGAGCAGAATCAGAGGGCACTTGATTAAATTGTTTCTAATGAATCAGTACCCACACTCTCTGTCACAAATAGGAGCATGGTGGCTAAGAAATCACGGTGGAAGTGGTTTCTGGTTATCCACATGAGATTATTCATAAAGACAATGACGATAATAAGGTTTTGGCTTTTTCCTTCAGCAAGACTCTACTGACCACCAATGATGTGTCCAACAGTAGGGCTTGCAAAGATTCTTCTAATTTTAAATGGAGTCGAAAAATTCTGGCCTTTAGTAAAAAACATATATGTACATCTTCTTTCATTAGCAATAACTTAATTACACTTGATTACCCTAAGATTTTAGGAGACAAAATCCCAGACATAGTTCAACTTCTGAACAACCGCTGTGAAGAAATAGATATTTGGTTTCATCACCCTGGAGGTGCATCATTTACCTTATGAAAGTGTGAGATGCCCAAGACATTAAAAATGTCATTCAGTTCCTCAACCTGATTCATATGTTCCCAATTCAGAAGCACATCTTTTATATAGAGAAATGAATGCCCTTGAATTTTTAAATTTGTTATGTATTTTTCATGCCCATAAATTCCTATGGGACATTGGTCCTTGTCAGCCAAATAGCTTCAGACTGTAAATGCCTTCTGACAAGTGCTTGGACCAAAGTTACCACCGGGTCATCATTTTCCAACCTCAGGCTTGTTTCAACCTAGGATAAGAGCTGGGGGGCTAAATCCCAGACTTGGAGCAGAATTAAGTTGACCCAATATGTTAGGTATTTGCAAGGGGCCTAGAAGAAGCACAAAGTATTCACATGTTGTGCTTTGCAAGAAAGGGGAGGGAGGAACACAATAACAAAGGGCTCCTTCCTTCACAGTGCTTCTTCTTCATGTCTGATCCTAGAGTGTGCCTTATTTTACCACCTAAGGATAGAATAGACTGTCACCACTGTGCCACCCCACTGCCATCACTGCCTGCCACCACTACCATTACCATCACTGGTACCACCACTGCCACCAGACTCATTACCACAACCATCACCACTACCCACTCACAACCTCCACCATTGCCACTACCGCCACTATTATCCCCACCAAAACCTCCACCATCACCATCACCACTGTTGTCGCCACCATATCCACCACCGCCATCATCACTGTTAGCACCCAGGAGAGCCCTTCTATAAACCAGGTCTGGTGTCAATACTTTTCTATGAATTATCTCATTAATCCCCACTAAACCCTATGTCACAGCTGAGGTTATTTGTTAAACTCAATTACACATAAGGAAGCGGTGACTTCGAGATGTTAAGTTACTCCAACAAAGTCAAGTATCTTCTAAGTGGTTTGTTGTGTGTGACAAGAGCCCTCTGTTCTGCCTCCCTCTGCCTCTCTGCCCTTCCGCAGATGGGGTACTTTGTAACCTGCTAATTTATGCATGGGTTAAAGTTCCAAAGGGAATTCAGAAAAAGTAAGAAAGAGAGCTAGGAAGGAATGAAAGACAAAGAGGGAGGGAGGGAAAGAAGAAAAATAAAAACTTTTTTTCTACATTAAAGTAAGATTTCAATGGCAGATTTCTAGTTTGAGAGTTCATTCTGAAGTGTAACTGAAGGAAGCAATATTCTAGCCCCTCCTCCAGCATACTTTATCTCTGCACAGCTTGATCTAGGGGCAGAGAGTGGGGGAGCACAAAGGTATTGAATGCATGAAGGGAGGAGAGTGTGGGGACACAGGCAATAGAGAAACTGGGTACAGGGAGGAGGAACGTGGGCCCCTGGTCCACAATTTCCCTTGCGTGCCCCACCCACTGAGCCAGGTCCTCTGACATCCCTTGGGGAGAAGCAGGTAGATCCAGAGCTAAGTTGATTATTTGTTTTTTGTGGGGTTATTTTTGTTTGTTTGTTTTTTAATCCTCACCTGAAAGTATTTTTCCATTGTTCCATTTTTAAAGAGAAAGAGTTCTTTTTAAGGGAGGGAAGAACAAGGAGGATGGAAGGGAGAGAAACAGTGATGTGAGAAAGACACAGCAAATGTTGACCACTGGAAGTTCCTCGATTGGTTGCCTTGAGCATGCACCCCTACCAGGGCCAGGGATTGAACCTGCAAACCAGGTACATGCCCTTGACTGGGAATCGAAGCCCCGAGACCCTTCAGTCCCTAGACTGATGCACTAACCACTAAGCAATGCCAGCCAGGGCTAAAATGATTATTTGGAGCTGTAACCCAAGAACAAAACTTAGTCGCAGGTAGAATACAGGTGGTATAAAATTGACCCAAATCTTAAGTCTTTTGGAGCCGACCGAAGTCACAGCCGCACAAACACTCCTGTGCTGCAGGCCCAGATTTCCCCTCTCAGTCTGGAGGGGAGAGCAGAGCTAGGACGAGGGATCTGCCAAGCCCTGACTTCCTCAAGACAAACTCGCTATCATGACATAAGAACCAACCACTGTTAGCTGGTCTCCTCCAACCAAAACACGTGAGAAGTTGTACTCACCTTCAGCTTCTCATCTACCCATCACTGATGCCTGGAGCTGTTGAGGAGCTCTTCACATCACTGTCTCTGGCCGCCATACCCTCCCCTCTTACATCACAATTTGAGAGCCACTGCTTTGGAGCATGGAAATGTTGACCTCTGGAAGTTCCTCTCCAACCTGACCCCAAACGACCTTTTCAATCTCCATTCGCTGGCACCACCTGACCCAAGTTGTGGGTCAGAACCCTCCTCCAGGCTCCCAGAGAATTTGTGCATCACTCAATCACAGCACATCTCACATGTGATTATGGCTTTTCAAGTACTTGCCCAACCCAGCCCCACCCTCTCAAGACTGTGCTCCACATAAGCTGGGACTGTGCTCCACACAGGCTGGAACTGTTCTTCACTTTTATTTTCTCTGCCCTAGTAAGGCCAGTCATGGGTGGGATTCCATGAGGGTTTGTGAAATGAATGAATGAAGAGTGAATGAATGAATGAACAAATGAGATTTAAAAACCTATAGTTACATGAGTCACATAAGCCTATGTTCTTAGGCAGAGACTTACAAAATTTTTTAGTCATAACTGTCAAGGAGAAATATATTTCATATTGTGACTCGGCACAAACAACCACATATATAATGGAAACAAGAGTTTCATGAAATGAAAAATTACACATGGGAGGCATTCTGATCAATCTATTCCACTCCAGTCCACTCCAGTCCACTCCACTCCACTCCATTCCATTCCCCTCCACTCCACTCCACTCCACTCCACTCAACTCGACTCCATTCCCCTCCACTCCACTCCACTCCATTCCATTCCACTCCACTCCACTCCACTCCACTCCACTCAACTCGACTCCATTCCCCTCCACTCCACTCCACTCCATTCCATTCCCCTCCACTCCACTCCACTCCACTCCACTCAACTCGACTCCATTCCCCTCCACTCCACTCCACTCCATTCCATTCCCCTCCACTCCACTCCACTCCACTCCACTCAACTCGACTCCATTCCACTCCACTCCACTCCACTCCATCCCCTCCACTCCACTCATTCCACTCCACTCCACTCCATTCCATTCCCCTCCACTCCACTCCACTCCACTCCATTCCACTCAACTCCACTCAACTCCACTCCATTCCCCTCCACTCCATTCCATTCCATTCCCCTCCACTCCACTCCATTCCACTCCACTCCACTCCATTCCATTCCCCTCCACTCCACTCCACTCCATTCCACTCCACTCCACTCCATTCCATTCCCCTCCACTCCATTCCATTCCCCTCCACTCCACTCCACTCCACTCCATTCCACTCAACTCCACTCAACTCCACTCCATTCCCCTCCACTCCATTCCATTCCACTCCACTCCATTCCCCTCCACTCCATTCCACTCCACTCCACTCCACTCCATTCCATTCCATTCCATTCTACTCCACTCCATTCCACTCCACTCCACTCCACTCCATTCCACTCCACTCCACTCCATTCCATTCCCCTCCACTCCACTCCACTCCACTCCACTCCACTCCATTCCACGCAACTCCACTCAACTCCACTCCATTCCCCTCCACTCCATTCCATTCCACTCCACTCCATTCCCCTCCACTCCATTCCACTCCACTCCACTCCACTCCACTCCACTCCATTCCACTCAACTCCACTCCATTCCACGCCACTCCATTCCATTCCCCTCCACTCCACTCCATTCCACTCCACTCCACTCCACTCCATTCCACTCCACTCCACTCCATTCCCCTCCACTCCACTCCATTCCACTCCACTCCACTCCATTCCACTCCACTCCACTCCATTCCCCTCCACTCCACTCCACTCCACTCAACTCCACTCCATTCCCCTCCACTCCACTCCATCCCCTCCACTCCACTCCATTCCACTCCATCCATTCCCCTCCACTCCCCATTCCCCTCCACTCCACTCCATTCCCCTCCACTCCACTCCATTCCACTCCACTCCACTCCATTCCCCTCCACTCCACTCCATTCCACTCCACTCCACTCCATTACACTCCACTCCACTCCATTCCACTCCACTCCACTCCATTACACTCCACTCCACTCCATTCCCCTCCACTCCACTCCATTCCACTCAACTCCACTCCATTCCACTCCACTCCATTCCATTCCCCTCCACTCCACTCCACTCCATTCCACTCAACTCCACTCAACTCCACTCCATTCCACTCCACTCCACTCCATTCCCCTCCACTCCACTCCATTCCACTCCACTCCACTCCATTCCACTCCACTCCACTCCACTCCACTCCATGCCACTTCATTCCATTCCAGTCCAGTCCAGTCCACTCCACTCCACTCCATTCCATTCCATTCCATTCCTCTATTATCTTGGCTTGGGTTTTCCAAGAACCAGACCCTGAGATAAAGATTCAAATGCTAGTTTACTGTGGAGGTGACCTTAGAAAACACCAGTAGAATGAGGAAGAGAGACAGGGAAAGCAAGGCATCCAAAGAAAGTGTAGAATGTATACTTCACCCCAGTCAGACCTTTGACCTAGTGTATTCAGTGTATTCATAGAGGAGCATCCTTAGTCATTGAGTGAGGACTGCTGAGGGGAATGGGACACTAGTTTACTAGTACTAGAAGGGCCTGACCAACGTTGGCTTCAGTGGCAAAAGGGCTGGTGTGAACAGAAGTGTTAAGGGGAAGGAATAGGGGTGGAACACCAACACCATCTGCTACATACACTGTTTGGTATTTTTAGAACATCTGGGTCACTCACTGTTCACTAAATTGATTTCATGGGTCATAACACAGTTTGAAAAGCAGTGTTCCAATATGGAATTTCCTAAAGAGTGGTTCTTATATGTTCTCCTGGTGGGTGAAATAGTTTAATTGGTACAGAAACAAATATTTTTTAACATAAATCCTCATTTTAAAATTGCAACCTGCATGAGGATAAAAGGTAAAACTAGCACTTTTATGATATAGAATTTTATTCCTGAATAAATGCATTTAAGGAAAGAAAATAAATTGATTTAAATATAAATGTTGAATAAGTGGTGCATGGATATGAGGGGAAGATGGGAAGGTGGTACTTGAAAGGATGGAGCTCAGGATTCTTTGCCTCAGAAATGCCCTTTATTGCAGTCCTGTCTGCTTTGCTCTTTCCGTCTAACTGTGCCTCTCCCCCTGCAGAGATTCGGCTATGGAGGCTGGGTGCAGCTCCAACACCACAGCAAGGTGAGTTTCTCCCAAAGTGAGCCCGCCTCGGACCCAGGGACACCCTGAGCCTGAGACCTCCAGGAGCTCTCAACCCTTCTGCCCTCCTGTGGACTTTGCAGTAGGCAAGGGAGCAGCACTGAGGTTTCTCTAAATTATTAGAAAAAATGCGGGTCACTTCAAAGAGCAGCATTCCGGATGGTAAATTGGAATTTGAAAAGCCATTAAGAAACCTCTCTCTTTTTTTGCCCTCAAACCAATTTTAACATTTATTGCTCTGCCTTAAGAAATAGATGCTGGAGGGCATAGATTTGGGCACTAACCTGGCCCCCTCCACAGGTCATTAGAGTAGATGAAGGCCAACCAAATAAATGGAACAGTTAGGTTTGAGCACAAGCTAGAGAAGTTAAACGTTGGAGACCCGGGAGAAGCCTGTTTGGTAAGAGGAGAAGGTGCAAGGAGGACTGGGAAGGAGCTCAGAGTCCAGGACTGCAGAGAGGTCATCCCTGACTTCATTTCCAGAGGCAGCACGTGCCTGCGTGGGGCTGGGAGGGAACATGCCTGAGCGTCCAGCGGGAACACACGCGTGCCTAAAGCGGGCCTGGGAGACTCGCGGTCTGGGAAGACGCGGTTACCCTGTGCAGGGGGAACACATGCAGTGCGATAAGGTTGGGCGGCCTGCTTTTCACCAAGTGCTGGAGGACATAGATTTGGGCACTAATCCTGGAGAAGACCTCCTGGAGGAAGTGAGGCCCAGCCTGAGGCTTGAAGCAGGAATAAAGGAAACAGATTTCCAGGAAGAGAAGACAGGGAACAAAGGCATGGAAATATCAAATTTATCTAAGCCCACAACTCAAGCACTTGCTATGGCTGGGACCAGCATTTTCTCAAAATGCGATCCCCAAACCAGCAAGAGCAGCTTCACTTGAGAAGATGGAAGAAATTCAAATTTATGGGCCTCAACTCAGACCTACCAAATCAGGAACTCCGAGGAACCGGCCAGCAGTCTGTTTTGACAAGCCTCCAAGTGATTCGGACGCTTACTCAAGTTTGAAAACCACTGCCCATATTCATTCACTCACTGGGTTTTATTAACATCACCAGGCTAGGCCTGGGAAATATACTGGTGAACAAGACAGACCTGTTCCCTGCCCTCGTGGTGATAAACTTCTTCGGGGAGACAAACCTGATCACTTTGGAGAATGGAATGACAAACAGTGCTGTAATAGGGAGGCTATTTAGGGCTGGCTGCACGGGCAGCTAGTGAAGACTTGGAGGAAAGGAAGGAAAACCTGGAATAGCGTCCCTGGCTCAGGGACCAGCGGTTACAAAGGCTATCGCATGAGGAAGAGCTATGCTCAAGAAACAGAAAGGAGGGCATTGTGGCTGAGATGTGATGAAACGGGGAGGCGGTAGGAAATGAGACTAGTGAGGTAGGCAGGGGCCAGATCATAGAGGGGCATGTAGCACATGCTAAAGAGTCTAGATTTTATTTTCAACACAGTGCAAAGTCTTTGGAGTGTGTTCATGGCTTAAAAAGACCTTCAGCAGCAGAGAATGGATGAGGCAAGCAAGGGTTTTAGGAGCAAAGTGGTGGGAAGAAGCTGAAGAGGTGGGCAGAAGCCTCATCAGATGGAGCCTTGGAGATTGGGTGTAGGCCTCTGAACTTGATCCTGAAGGCAGTGGGGAACCATTACAGAGTTTTCAACACCAGAATCTGTGGGGCAGCTCACTCTCACCTTCATCACGGGGCATCCACTCAGTGCTGATGTGGACACTGAGCCGCACTTGTGTGCTGGGCAGTGCCAGTTCCGAGTCTGGGAGCAGTGATCTAAGCTGGCCTCGGGGCCTCGGGTCTCCCCGAGGAGGAAAACAAGCTGAGCAGAGCTGATTACAAGGCTTTGAGGAAGCCCCAAACGCAGGGACAGGCCGCTGTGATTTTTATTTTACTCCATATCCCAGGCTGTGGTCCGTTACCTTGATAATGGATTTGAATGGCCTTCATTTCATTTCGTTTTCATGTCAAGAGACTGCATAAACTTAACAGCAGATCTAAAAAAAAAACAACAAAAAAACCCCAAACCCAAAAAGGAAAATATTTAAGTCACATCTTGTCCTACATATTTCCTACATATTTCCAGCAAACTTGGATACCATGGTGGTGTAACAGAACAAAACAGTGGCATTCTCCTTCCTTCTCCCTCAAAACAAAACAAAGTAAAACAAAACCAAATATGTATTTTTTATAATTACAGTGGTCAGGGATTACAGCTGCTGGAAAACAACATGTGAATGTATACAAATATTCAAATTAGACTAACAGCAAGGAGAGCATCTAGCTTCTTTTCTTAATGAATTTCAATGCTTTTGGGATGAATCATGGGGTGTTGTGTGCCATGGGAGAGCCTTGTTCAGAATTGAAAAATTACCACTTGTCTTTTGGTTGAATATTTAGGAAAGTGTAGGTAGCAAGACAGTTTGTATGGCCTCCTCTCAGGAGCTGCACGGGGTGGGGGTAGGACTGAGTCCTGATGGCAAGAACCTGGGAGCATTTCAAAGGATGGACATAGGGCTTCTTTCTAAACCATGGGTCAGCAGCATCTACAGATCGCCACTGAGTGTTTTCCAGGCCCTTGGGGCTACACACACACACACACACACACACACACACACCATTTCCATCACACCAAGCATTAAACACACACTATTTTGTGTAATTCCATGTAATTGTGTAATTCCATGTAATTCCGATCATTGGGTTCCTGATTTGAAAATGATTTTCCCCTCACTGGGAAGCCAAGAAGAAATCCGAATGGATAAAGGTATTTATTCAATAGCGATCCTTTTGAGCTCAGTGAACAAAAGAGACAATACATATCAAGGGAGTCAGGGAAAGTGGGAAGCCCAAGGCAAGGGGCGGTTTCCATAAAGATAAAGAATCACAGACCAGTGATCATCGACTCCAGTGTTTGAAAATAAGTGTTGCAACCTAATAGTGAATCATAATAACAAGTCAGAGGATTAGGTAGGACAGCTTTAGAAATAAAAAAGATTACAAAAGAAAACAGCAGGATGCATTGTTCATAGTAAGAGTAAATGCTATTTCATGGAACTTTTGTCCTAGTTTGTATCTGTTTAAATAGATTTATATGGGTCTACTGGGTCACAATAGAAAATATATTTCTGCATGTGAGGTCACAGACAAAATGGATTGAAAGCAATTATTCTAGTCCAATGCTGTCATTTCTGTTTTTATTTTGAAGGTTAACTTTTCATTACATAAAGTATCATTTCAATAAATTCTCCGCCACCAGTACCCCTGTCGACAGACATAGCACATGGCCACTGCCAGAATCATTGGCAGGTTAGTTCACTGTTCTGCCTTTTTGCATCTCTTGCTCTTAATTAAAAACCAAACATTGATTGGCCAAGCTCAGGGCAAGGAGGGCAAGCATTTGGGCTTTTGAACTTTATTAGAGGAAGGCTGGGCTCTGCCTCCACCAAGACTCTGATAGGAGATTCCCCAACCCAGGAAAGGTGTTCAGATACTGAAGCAAGGAAACCCTGATGTCAGAGACTGGGTTCTGCTTGGACACAGACACCTACCATGGTTACACAAGTCACTTGCTCACTGACTTCTTCCCCCCCAGTCCATGAGAAATGAAAACATGGATCTTAGGGCTTCCTCATGCAAGCCAGATATGAAGGGGCTGCCACACCTGCAGGGGAAAAGTGATTGGCTTTCTCCAAGCAGAAATTGGGGAAGGTTTTGTCCATGGGATAGAAGGATGGAGAAGGAAGCTGTGGCAAGACCTGTGTGCAACTCGCAATCAAAACAAGGGGGAGACGGGGAGGGCAGTGACCCCATCAAGCAGAACTCAAGGCCTTTGATCACCACATGCCCACTTGGCGGGGCCCAAGGGCAATGTTGAGCCCTAAGGCACTGCCGGAGGTGGTGTGCCCTCACAGCAGGGAACAGCGGGAGACAGCCTAGTTAGCCACATGTCATTAATAACTAATACTTAGAATAACCAACACTTAGCATGTGTCAGATACCCATGTGTTTTATATGGATTCTCCCATGTTATGCTCACAAGATCTCTTTAAGGTATAAGTTATATTATTTTTTAAGGTAAGTCATATTATGTCCCTATCTTAAAGATGAGCAAATTGGGGCTCAGAGATGTTGTTTAACTTGCTCAAGACCACACAGTAAGTAGTAAAATGGGGACTTGAACCTGAGCAGTCTGATTTCAGGGACCTGGATCAGAACTTTTCCCTTTTCTTTAGGGATCACAAACTGGAGGCTGAATTTAGAAGCCACTGCCATGCTTCTGTACAGCCATTTACCATGGCCCCCTGCCCTGAGGAATAAGAGACAGTGTACACAGGCGGCACGATGCCTGGTGGAGGTCAGCACCTTGGCCCCAGGTCTCACATGCTGCGAGACCGATTCACTTCATTGCCCACCTCCGCCTGCAGGTGTTGACATCAGTGGGCCCTGCTCTGCCGGACAAATCACTTCTGACTATCCATCTGTGGCTGCTCTATAAAACCAGACGGCTGGACTACACAGACTATCTCCGAGGTCCTTTTCAATTCTAAAATGTTGTGTTTTATCTGGAGTTTTCCAGACACTGAGCCTTCCTCTCGGGGTTTGTAGCCAGTGGTTCAGGGAGAAAAGGTGACCAGCCAGCCTCAGTCATGAAGCCCCAAAAGGCCATGACCATGGCTTTGTTTCTCTCTGTACCTAACTGCTGATGCCTGCGCGCACACTCCTTTAACTCCAGGCCAATTGAAGGCAGGAGGGTGAAAAGCTGAGCTCTGCTGAAGGAACAGATTTCTCCTATTAGGGGAGAACCACGTTGCAAAGCACAGAAGAAAGGATTCCTCTAAGTAAACTTAGGTTAACGTTGCTGTTGTGCCTCTTCTGCCCTAGGGAGAAGCGAAGATGCTGAAAGATGGGAAGGTTTTCAGGGTGATCCAAGAGAACTGCTGGGATCCAGAAGTCCGTATTAGAGAAATGGACCAAACAGGTACTTACGCTGAGAAATGTTATCAGTGATCACATCTGATAAAAAGCCATGTCTCTCCCTGAAGTCTGTTGACCACTTTACAGGATTTATGTGATGGTAACTTCTGATGCTCTTTCCCTAGCTCCCTTCCCACCACATATTTCTAGACCAGGGACAACTTTTCTCCTCGGAGCCAGACTGCTCCAACTTCGCTTGGGGAGGGATGGGCCTTCTACTAGAATTGTTTTAGTGTGGATTAAAATTGTTTTTTAATTAAGTATAGCTGTTTAAAGTAGAATGTTATACCATAAAAAACATAAATGTGGCATTTTATTATTTTAAAGCTTTTTAAGTTCAAATGTATAGTATGTATTTATTATTAGAGTTGATTAAAAGAATAAAAATTAGCCCTAACCGGTTTGGCTCAGTGGATAGAGCATCGACCTGCAGACTGAAGGGTCCCAGGTTCGATTCCCGTCAAGGGCATGTACCTTGGTTGTGGGCACATCCCCAGTAGGAGGTGTGCGAGAGGCGGCTGATCGATGTTTCCCTCTCTTCGATGTTTCTAACTCTTTATCCCTCTCCCTTCCTCTCTGTAAAAAATAAGTAAAATATATTTTAAAAAAGAATAAATAAAAGAATAAACATTAGAATTCACAGAGTAAGGATGCCAGTTTCCTGCTTAGTCAGATTCAGGATCCAATTTCTTCCCACACTTTGTCTTGGTACACAGTACACAGAAAGTCCCCACTGACACATAAGGGGGTGGAAATGAGAGCAGTTAAAAAGCAAGTTAATGGTGTAATTGCAGAATCATCTATAATGAAGTTAATTCCAAAACTTGAAAGAGGAGAATTGGGACATTCTTGTTTCAAAGCTGAATCACTAACAATCTGAGAGCTGCTTTGCACTCCTTATCTTATATTTATAAAGCGAACTAGTCCCACAATTTAAAAAACCATTTAAAACATGGTATGATGGCCACGCTGTGCTTTCACTTGTTATGTGCCACCCAAGTACATACGCTCCAGAAGATGGGCCGAGCCTCTGGGCACGCGTGGGCCATGCCAGGGGAACTGCCCTACAACACTGCCAGGCCTAAGCTTCGACACCGGTGGTCTAGATGTAGACCAGAAAACAAACACTTCATACCCACAAATGAAGGAGCAGCTCAGAACTACCGCCTCTTTAATCAAAGATAAATGTATAAGAAGTTAAAATATATACACAGAGATGGCAGGAGGCATTTTGCTCTAAAGTCTACACAAAAATGAGTTAGCCTGTCAGCCCCAAATGAGGAGGTGGTCTATGGAATGTTAGAATTTGGTCCAGGATACTTTGGATGAGGAATTGCTTTATAGTTTTTATAAATAATTAAGGGTATATTTAAATGGCATTCTAAATGAACTTTGCAGAAAGCCTGAAGACCTCTGCAGACCATTCCACAGAACACAGCGTGTATGTCCCTGGTCTAGAAATATGTGGTGGGAAGGGAGCTAGGGAAAGAGCATGCTTCTCATATCTACAGCAAAGAGCAAGGCTTTGCTCTAAATGTAACCCTGAGCAAGGATCCTCGTCCCTTCAAGGAGAAAACTAGAGGAAATGAGACTTGGATGACTGGTATTGGCTTAGATAAAGGGTGTCCCCTTTGGGTTTGCTGTGTGTTTCATTCATTGGCTGTCTTTGAGAGCACAGTCATGGCTATTCCTTGCTGAGCATTTACTTTGTGCCAGGCACTTTTCTCAGCACCTAACATGTATCAACTCATTTAATCCCTATAACAACCCTAGGGAGGTATCATTTATTATTATGCCCATTTTACAGATGAAGAAACTAAGAAACAGAGGTTAAACAACTTGCCCATGATCACACAGTTTGTAGGAGTCAGAACCAGGATTTGAACCCGGGCAGTCTGCCCCCAAGGGCTTAACAACTACATCTTACCACCTCTGTGGAGGTAAGAAAATAAATGACAAAGGCCCAACACAGAATATTCCAGCAATCCATGCGATCTTCACAGGGAGGGAAATGTAACTGGCAGCCCCTGGGTCACTTCATCACAAGATCCATCACAAGAAAGGCCAAAATAATAACAGTGAGATGATACACATGTAAGCATTTCCTAAGTCCTCAACTAGGTTGGGTTCCTACTGAAGCTGGTTCTGGAACAGACCCAGGAAGGTCAGAATTGGGGAGGGATCCAGGCCTGGTGCCGGCTGGGGTGGAAGCTCAACACCTCTAAGTGGCAGGCATTGTTCTATCTATTGTTACCTAAGGGGCAGGGGCCAGTAAGTTAATGGATTTGCTCAAGATCACATAGCTAGTAACAAGCAGAGCCAAGATTGTGCTTAGGGCTCTTTTCATTCCACCACAAAAGCTTTTCCCAAACCTCCCTCAGGGTAAGGATCACCTGGGGTGCTGGTTAAATTTTTTTTCAGGCCCCATCCACTAAATCAGAATTTCCAAAGGAGGGCCTAGGAATTTGTTTTTAAAATGTTCTGCCCTCACCCCAATTTTAATCAACAAGTAAGTTGTATAGAGGTTGTGCTATGTCATACTGCTAACCCTCTCCTTTAAAAAAATGTAAGTTCTAACTGTATTAGACTTGTTTTCCCCCTTTAGTTCTGAGAGGCCAAAGAATATGTATCAAAATCAACCAATATACAAATAATACAATAACTATGTCAATATGAAATATTGTGACAAGTAATGCTCACTGGGATATAGGGAAGGAGAAAGGCTGGACAGGAGCCTAAGCACCACTTTCAAATGTGACCTTAGATCTAATCTATAAAATAGAGGAAATGGAGTAATGTAAGTGAAAGTATTTATGTAAAATGTAAAAAATTTTACAATTGAAAGGTCCTCATCTGTTTGATACTAATCAATGAATGTAAATAATATCTTGTGACAATGATTAACAGTACTCTCTTACCAAACCTGCAGTCTTTCATTTATTGGGTATGTTCAGGACCACTTGGGATGCTGGTGCTATGGCATGGAGAAACCACTTGAATACAAGTGGTGTTTGTATTCAAGTAGAGGAAGGCACAGAATAAACACAGAAATGACAGACTGTAATAAGTATTAGAAAAGGAAAGGAATAGAACAATGGGATAGATCATGGCTGGAATAACAAGGAGACCACTCTGAGGAGATGACATGTGAAATGAGACCTTAGGGTAAAAAAGAGCCCATCTTGTGATGAGCCAAAAGAAAAGCATGCAGGTAGGAGGAAGGCAAAGGTCCAGAGGCAGAAAACAGTTCCAAAGATCAGGCAGGAAACCAAGGAACATTATGTAGCCCCAAGAGAGACTGTATGGACCTTGTAGACCATGCTCAAGTCTGGATTTTACCCTAGTATGATGGAAAGTCCTGGAAGTTTTGAGCAAGAGAATGACTTGATCTAAGTTTTAACACCTCACTCTGATTTCTGAGTGGGGAACAAACCATAGGACAAGAAAGGTGGCAGGGACCGGTGCGGAGGCTTCTGCAGTGGTCCATGTAGGAGGTGCTGATAGGCTGGTTAGTAGTGGCAGGAGATGCCTGGGTGTATGAAAGGAATTGAAGTAGAGCTAACAGGTCTTGCTGGTGGGTCAGATGTGGACATGAGGAAAAGAGAGCCACCCTCCATTTGGCAGCCTCTTTCCTGACACCCGAGCTCCAAGAGCTTGATGATAGAGATTCCAGGCCTCCTGGATGTTGGATTCTGGAGCCAAATCCCGGGTCCCATTCTGAGCATTGCAGACAGTGGGACTCAGAACCACTTAGCAGCTAATTAAAGAGGGGGAGAAAGTGACTGGGAAAAACACGGTCCATCATGAGCTAAGATAAAAAGCCCTGAAAAAAACTGCTGGGGAAATGTCTTGCTTACATAGACCTTCACAAAAAGGAGGGTAGAGATAACCCTTGACAAAGAGTGTCAATTAGTTCTTAAATGATTTCATTTTTGTCTAGCATTTACCCCTCCTCTGAGAACCCAACACTGAGGGATGAGGGAGGTCTGGGACAGAAATCCTGAGAGAAAGTGGACAGGGAGGAACAGCCAGGGAAGGGAGAGCGAGGACGAAGTGGAGTGAAGAATTGCTGGCCTACTGGGCCTAGGAAATACAGGAAAGTCTGGGCTATTCTCATTGGCTTTGCCTTTCTCTGTGTCTGTGTCTAGGAGTGACCGTGCAAGCCCTTTCCACAGTTCCCGTCATGTTTAGCTACTGGGTGAGTATGAAACTTCAAACCATCTTCTCGTTGGGCAAAGGGTTATGTCTGGCAAGTTGGTAGATGACTCACTTAACATTGCCCCAACTCCCCTGTTTCTCCCCTATAGAGATCAGTGGTGTCCCTCAGCTTCTCACATTGCAGTGTGCCCTTCTGGGCCTGTCTTCTTAGTCCTGTCCTTGCTCTAGACCCAGGTCGGCAAACCACGGCTCGCAAGCCACATGTGGCTCTTTGGCCCCTTGAGTGTAGCTCTTCCACAAAATACCACATGCGGGCTCGCACATACAGTGCGATTGAAACTTCGTGGCCCATGCGCAGAAGTCGGTATTTTCTGGAAGAGCCGCATTCAAGGGGTCAAAGAGCCGCACGTGGCTCGAGAGCCATGGTTTGCTGAGCCGCAGTTTGCCGACCACTGCAGACCCACAGGGTCCAGTATAGTCGCCAACAGTTGCACATCACTATGTGACTCACATTGTATTTTCACTGGACGCACAGTTCTAGACCCAACCTAAATTTCCATCAGCACTTACCTGTCTGATGACTCATCCCCTCAGTGCCTTACTCAATATTCAACAAGAGAGTGTATTCTGAGGTGATGATGAGTTTGAGGTGGGAACAATAATAATGGCCTATATGTTGCCTCTCCCAGGGAAATGTACAATTCAAAATGGGATTCCTGGAGTTGGCCGCTTTTCCCCAAGTGATTAAGTGTCAAGTGCTGAAGTTTCAGGCTTGATTGCGAGCTTGTGGAAGGACACTTTTGTACACAGCTGGGGGTGCACCGGCGCCTGCTCACACATGCAAATATTCACTCCTGTTGTGGTTTAAGCAGCAATGACAATACCACCTGCTCACACATACTTCCCCACCGGGGCTCATAATTCCAGTGCTAGTGGTTCAGTCTTGATCTGTTTCTGTGATTAGATTCATGATTTAGATAGGTTTAAATTTATGACTTCAATATGTCTACATTTATGAGACTGGGCATCATTCTGACTACACAACTGGGATTTCAGGAGAACACCAAATTCCTGGCAGTGGGGTGAGAGGATGTTGAAAGGAAAGAATGAAGAAGGAAGAGTTAGGGAAACAGAAAGCAAACTTCATCTGCATCAGCATTTTGCTAGGGTAACCGTGAGTGTCACTGCCTATGGAGGGACAGGGAGGGGGAGAAACAGGGGCAGGAGAGGTGTAGAACATCCTGACGTCACACAACGAGGCATGACCAGGAGAGGCCCTCGTGACGTCAGGCACACCGGGCCCAGCCTCCTGTGTGGGGGTAGAAGAGGTACCTAGATGTGCAGCCTGTGGGCTCCTGTCTGCAGGGGTGGATGCCAGAACCAGAAACTGTGTCCGTTCCTTCAGATTATAGCCTCACAATTTATAATTAACCAGCAACACTAGCAGTTGGCTTTGCATTTGCAATGCCTGGCTTCTGGGTCTTCTGCAGCAAGTGCCTAGCCCAGCCTGTGCCTCAGCTTTCTGCAGGGAAAGCCAGTGAGAATGACAGGTGATTTCGCCTGGGGAGGTGTTGTTTGGAGTAAAGAGCTAAAGAAGGAGGTTCTGAATGATGTGGTGTTCTCTCATCTGTCTCCACCAGGCCAAACCTCAAGACACGCTAGACCTGTGCCAGTTTTTAAACAACGACTTAGCTGCCACCGTAGCGAGGTACCCCAGGAGGTTCATGGGCCTGGGGACATTGCCCATGCAGGCCCCGGAGCTGGCCGTCAAGGAGATGGAGCGCTGTGTGAAGGAGCTGGGCTTCCCGGGGGTCCAGATCGGCTCCCACGTCAACACATGGGACCTGAATGCGCAGGAACTTTTCCCTGTCTATGCAGTGAGTGTGCAGGGGGACCGGGCACGATGCTGGGCACTGGGACTGGGCACAGTGCTGGGCGCTGAGGCTGGGCACTGGCTGGGTGCTGGGGCTCGGCACCGTGCTGGGAGCTGGCGGGAAGAAGATAAATGCACCACTTCACTGGGAGGGGGAGAGAGAGATGCCGCTGACATGCTAGGACATAGGAGGAAACATGGGAAGAGCTCCCACAAAAAGTGGCCATTCCACTGGGAGAAGGGCGAGTGGAAATGCACCCTGAGTTAGCTGAGTGAAATCTCTGTTCTTTCTATCACCCATTCTCTCCTTTTAATCTTTGATTTAGAAGCCAAAATGTTACCCTTATCATAGCCACTGTGCAAAGAACTGTGTTAATGACATACCAAACAATATTTATGTTTGCTTTGGGGAAAAAAAATCATTATTTTTCAAATTATCCTATATAATAAAGGGGTAATATGCAAATTAACCCTCACGCCTTCACAAGATGGCTGCCTACAACCAGGCCAGCAAAGGGGTTAGTGAGGGACGACCAAATGACTGAACAAGCAGTCTGCGTGGGGCAACCAGGCCGGCAGGGGGGCCATGAGAGGCAACTAGGCTGGCAGGGGGGGACAGTTGGGGGTGACCAGGCCAGCGGAGGGGCAGTAAGAGGCAACCAGGCTGGCAGGGGGGTGCAGTTGGGGGCAACCAGGCCAGCAGGGGGGGGCAGTTGGGGGCAATTAGGCTGATGGGGGGGCATTGAGGGGCAACTAGGCCAGCAGGGGGCAGTTGGGGGTGACCAGGATGGCAGGGGGGCAGTTAGGGGCAACCTGGCCAGCAGCGGGGGGCAGTTAGGAGTGATCAGGCTCACATGCAGAGGCAGTGAGGGGCGATCAGGCTGGGGGGGTGGGGCAGTTAGTTAGGGGCAACCAGGCAGGCAGGCAGGTGAGCGATTAGGAGCCAGTGATCCAGGATTGTGAGAGGGATGTCCGACTGCCTGTGGGATTGTACCTAAACCGGCAGTTGGACATCCCTCAAGGGGTCCCGGATTGGAGAGGGTGCAGGCTGGGCTGAGCCCCACCCCCTGCACAAATTTCATGCACTAGGCCTCTAGTATAACATAATTTTGAAGAAATTGTGGAAATAAAGGAAAGTGTAAAAAGGAAAACATTCCATAGTCCAAAGTAATCCATAATTCCACCACTCAAAGATAAGTAACTACTGCTATAGTATATTTCATTTGTTTTTTTACATATATCTATATTCTATTATATGCGTGACTTCATATCCTAATTGAGAATTTCCACCCTAAATGAAAAGTCTCTTAATGCATGATTTTTCAATAACTGCATAATATTCCAATATATGCATATGTTTTGATTTATTTAATCATTCCTCAATTAATATACTTTGTAAGCCATATATTTTGAAAATCTTCCTCTGCCTCCTGTTTCTGCAACTGAACCTGCTTTCCTTACACCAGGATTCAAGATGCATGATTCTGTATTCAGCTGCATTTCAGAATGTTTACTTCCCTCCTACAATTAGGATAGTATTGTTTTCTATTATTTTCATTGTAAATATAAAATCTTTCATAATGAATTAAATAGATATTGGTGAACTTACCAGGCACTATACTCACTGATCATTTATTCTTTTATTATCTAGTGAGCTCTGACTACATGGGGGAAAATTCCCATTTTTGTACCTATGGACCGGTTGGGAGATGCCTGTTAAATTGCCTCCTGGTGACCTGAAGGCTTTAATGTTCCTCTAAATATTGAGCTCCCTGAAGAGTATTGGCTACAGTGGCTGAGCTGACAGTGAATGTTTTCTAGAAACTTTAATGAGCTTTGAAAGAGGATTTATTTATCTATGTATTCAAGTTGTTTCAGCACAGTGTGAGCAAACCTTCAGCTGCAAGTCATTTTATTATTCATTAGAGGCCCAGTGCATGAGATTTGTGCACTGGGGGGGAAGGGGAGTCCCCTCAGCCTGGCCTGCACCATCTCATAGTCTGGGATCCCCCAGGGGATGTCTGCCTGCCAGCTTAGGCCCAATCCCCCTGGAAATCAGGCCTAAGCTGTCAGTCAGAATCCCTCTCTCAGTCCAGGGCTCTCGCAGTCTGGGACCACTTGCTCCTTACCACCCACCTGCAGTGGAGGCAGGAGAGGCTCCTGCCACCGCCTCTGCACTCTCCAGCCATGAGCCCAGCTTCTGGCTGAGCAGTGCTCCCCCTGTGGGAGCACACTGACCACCACGGGGCAGCTCTTGCGTTGAGTGTCTGCCCCCTAGTGGTCAGTGCACGTCATAGCGACCAGTTGTTCTGCAGTCAGGTCAATTTGCATTTTACGCTTTTATTATATAGGATTGGAATTGGGCTCAGAAAGCAGCAGCAGCCTGTTGGGTATAGTATTTCCATTTGTGTGACTAGCTTGACCCATCCATCATTCTCAAGAGGCTGTTTGGGGGCTTGCAGTCCCTGAGGGGGTTCAGGAGAGCCCCCTGGCCCAGCTGACTTACCATGTCCTGGGGTTGGCAGCACGTTTGTTTGGTTGGCAGGACTTGCCAGTCTCACTACTCTGTAACTTGCGTTGGTAACATGAGCTGAAACAAATAAGAGGGGTGTCCATGAGCCAAGTTGGCTGTGTTATGTCAAGGTCAGCCTGGAGCTCCAGAGTGTCTAACTGTCCACTTTAGTTCCTAGACCTTCCTTCTTAGGGAGTGAACCCAACAATACACTTTAAGCACCGTTTTCAGGCACTAAAATGATTTTGTGATGAGCATGAGGCAGACAGAATGGTAGGGGCAGGCTACCTGCCTCTTTCACTTACCAGCCACAAGACCTGAGAAAGTTACTTAGCCTCTGTCTGCCGTAGCTCTATTCTCTGTAAGATGGGAGTAACACAAGTGCTCATTTTATAAAGAATAAAACTAGTGAGAGAACCAAGATGGCGGCATAGGTTAACGCTGGAGTTTGCTGCTTTGAACAACTACTTCAAAAGTGAAACCAAAAAACAGAAGGGACATCACCCAGAACCACAGGAACGCTGCCTGAGTGGAAGTCCTACAACTAGGAGGAAAGAGAAACGCATACGGACACTCAGAGGAGGCGCAGTGCTGAAGTCAAATTCTGAGGTGCGGAGTGCCCGGAGCGGGCTGGCGGCGGAGGGCGCGGTTGGCGTTTTCAATCGGGAGGGAGTCGAAGACTCTGAGCTCCAGATCCGGGCGAGTCTTTAGGGACCCAGACTCAAACGGGAGAAGCGGGACTGTCTGGCTTCGGTCAGAGCGAGTGCAGCTTTCTCTCTGAGCTTTGCAGCGGGTGCTGGGACTCAGAGAGGCAGAGCCCCTGGGGACAGGACTGAGAGCCGCCATAACTGCTCTCTCCTGCCCACCCTGTTGATCCTGTGCGACCCGCCCCGCCCAAGCCCTGCACACAGGCATTTGCCGGATAGCCTCAGGCAAACGCCAGATTAGCACCTCCCTAGAGGACAGAAGTTCTCTCACTGCTGACACAGCTGATTCTCATAGCCACTTGGCCTGGAGGTCAAACCCTCCCTGGAATTAGCTACAACAATCAAGATTTAACTATAAGACTGTGAACAAAGACCACTAGGGGGTGCACCAAGGAAGCATAACAAAATGCGGAGACAAAGAAACAGGACAAAATTGTCAATGGAAGATATAGAGTTCAGAACCACACTTTTAAGGTCTCTCAAGAACTGTTTAGAAGCCGTCGATAAACTTAATGAGATCTACAAGAAAACTAATAAGACCCTCGATCTTATATTGGGGAACCAACTAGAAATTAAGCATACACGGACTGAAATAACGAATATTATACAGACTCCCGACAGCAGACCAGAGGAGCGCAAGAATCAAGTCAATGATTTGAAATGCGAGGAAGCAAAAAACACCCAACCGGAAAAGCAAAATGAAAAAGAATCCAAAAATGCGAGGATAGTGTAAGGAGCCTCTGGGACAGCTTCAAGCGTACCAACATCAGAATTATAGGGGTGCCAGAAGATGAGAGAGAGCAAGATATTGAAAACCTATTTGAAGAAATAATGACAGAAAACTTCCCCCACCTGGTGAAAGAAATGGACTTACAGGTCCAAGAAGCGCGGAGAACCCCAAACAAAAGGAATCCAAAGAGGACCACACCAAGACACATCATAATTAAAATGCCAAGAGCAAAAGATAAAGAGAGAATCTTAAAAACAGCAAGAGAAAGAAACTCAGTTACCTACAAGGGAATACCCATACGACTGTCAGCTGATTTCTCAACAGAAACTTTGCAGGCCAGAAGGGAGTGGCAAGAAATATTCAAAGTGATGAATACCAAGAACCTACAACCAAGATTACTTTATCCAGCAAAGCTATCATTTAGAATTGAAGGTCAGATAAAGAGCTTCACAGATAAGGAAAAGCTAAAGGAGTTCATCACCACCAAACCAGGATTATATGAAATGCTGAAAGGTATCCTTTAAGAAGGGGAAGAGGAAGAAAAAGGTAAAGATACAAATTATGAACAACAAATATGCATCTATCAACAAGTGAATCTAAGAATCAAGTGAATAAATAATCTGATGAACAGAATAAACTGTTGATTATAATAGAATCAGGGACATAGAAAGGGAATGGACTGACTATTCCTGGGGGGGAAAGGGGTGTGGGAGATGCGGGAAGAGACTGGACAAAAATCGTGCACCTATGGATGAGGACAGTGGGTGGGGAGTGAGGGCGGAGGGTGGGGCGGGAACTGGGAGGAGGGGAGTTATGGGGGGGAAAAAAAGAGGAACAAATGTAATAATCTGAACAATAAAGATTTAATTAAAAAAAAAAAAAAAAGAATAAAACTAGTTAATAATTGTAAAATTCTTATGATAGCTTTGGCACATGGTAAGTTCTCCGTTAATGTGAGTTATAATTTTGAGAGTATAAGTGATTTCTGATTGTGTTCTCTACAATACTTCACATACAAAAGGTGACCAAAAATATTTGTTAATTTGAATTGAATAGAAACAAACCATCGTAGGCCATAGAATCAACTTCTGTACTAATGAGGAGTCAAATCCCACTGAGATATCATGGTCATGTGTCTTTGTCAAGCCCAAACTACCCAAGAGGCTGGTATTCTCTTTCCAGCCTGCATGCATTATCAGGTTAATATCAAAAGGTTTCTATCTCTTCTCCCCAGAACCTGTTGAATTAGAAGTCCTTTCTCCAATCTACCCCTTGCCTGCCACATCCAGAGTCCCATGTTGTCCCAGAATTGCTTCTCCATTTTTAAAAAATGTTTCTGTACAGAAGGCCCATTGTATCAAACTAGTGAGTCCACATATTAATATGTAAGGGTAGGATGAGTCACTCTGGCACCCCAGTATATTTGGAAATGTGCTAAGAAAAATATGTTTTGAACCTTGCTAAGCACTAATACTCAATGCCTGCTGAGGGGACTTTTTAAAATGAAACATTTTGCTGAATAAAGGTCATTCCATCCAGATGGTATTTTCATTTCCCAGAACAAGTTTGCTCATGACCTTCCTCACAGCACAGGCCTGATGGAGGCATTGAGATCTCTTCCTTTCTTTTAAGTGATTTCATTCGCACCAGGCTGTTCAGGGACTCTGCTGAGCTCCTGGGCTTTGTGAAAGCCTGCAGACCCCAGAAATTCCCACCCTCTATCAGGCTCTGAGTGACCAGAGGCTTGGGTCAGGCCAGCCTGCCCCAGCTCAGTCCTGAACCCCTGACTCTCCCCCCATCACTTCCTCACTCTCCACATCCTCAGTTTCCAAGTGGAGGAAAGGAGGGAACACTTCAGTCCTGACTCCAAAGATAGAACATGAGCAGTCCTTCTGAAAGAGTAGACCAAGGAGGAACCAGCGGGGAAATTTCCCCGGCATTTGAGGTACAGGAGCAGTCCTTAAGCATTTTGCTCTCAGCCAGAACATTTGAGTGATGTATGTTTCCTGTGACTTGTGTTGCCAAACAATATATTAATTCATCAACCTCAATGGCAAATCCACACCCTCCCTCCCCCCCATTAAATCTAAGTGTCCTTTTTATTTTCCAAGCAGGAGCACAGTTTATCAATGACTCTTTTATACAGATCAGGAAACAACTTCAAAAATATTTTGGTTTGTGTATTCAGATCAATATAGACCTAGGGAAAAGTAATTTCCCTAAAATAGTACCCTGTAGCTGCTGGCTCACCCAATAACCCTCTCTCATTCCTTCTCTGAAGGCAGCTGAGAAGCTGAACTGTTCCCTATTCGTGCACCCCTGGGACATGCAGATGGACGGACGGATGGCCAAATACTGGCTCCCTTGGCTCGTAGGTTTGTGTCAGCTTGGGGGTCTAGAAAAGAGGATCTAATTTTTGTATTTTTCCCCAATTATCTGTGAAACACTATTATGTCAAAGAGAGAAAGTGTAATTTATTAACAGGATTGTGCATTATTGAGCTCTTACTCAGATTATTGCTAAATATATTATCTCATTTAATTTTAATCATATTCACATAAAACCCTATGAGGCTGACATTATAATAACCATTTCATGGATGGAGAAACTGAATCTCAGAGGGGTCAGGAAGCTTGTCCAAGTCACACAGTTAATAAGTGAACATGGAATTTACACAGATCAGTCTGACTCCAAAACCACCTCATGACACAAACTCCCCAAAAGGCTCCAAAGATAAGTAACCTTGCCTGTTTAACCAGTTTTTTTAGAAGCCAATAATAGCATCAGCTCTTTCAAATGAGAACCCTGGAATTAGGAGGGGAAGGTCACCTGACACCGCCCAAGGATCGGAGGCCCTCAATTATGGGTGACCCAGCTTTCAGTTTCCCTGTTACCTTACCTCTCTTCTGCTCTTTTCCTCCTCAATTCATTCATGGTTTCAGATGAGGGACAGGGATAGGGGAGAGGCCGCCATTTAGCCTGTCCACTCTCTCATTAGCATCCTGACAAGAAAAAGAAACGAAGACAGGTTAGAATCCTGGGGCCACGTGGGGAGAGTGCAGCTCATCTACACACCCAAGGAGTGGTCCCCGCAGAGCAGGGCTGGGTTTGCTTTGGGAGGCCATTACCCATTCTCTCCTCGGCCTCGTTGATACAAATAATAGTGAAGTATCCACCATAAAGCACTAAATGGAGCAGTATATTAAAAGTGAAACTGAATTTCAGTTCCAGCTCGTCTAGATCTCTGTGTAACCCGTGGCAAGTCATTTCACCTCCTGACACCCCAGCTCCTCGTCTGTCAAGTGAGCGAGCTGGCTTAGATTCTCCTGCTCCTCTGATATTTTATGCCCCTGGCATTGCTTTTGGAGACCCGTGTATTCAGTAAGGCAGCTTCCTATCTACTCCCAACCAAATTTTGAGCAGGAATTAGTAGAAAGAGATCACCTAAGAAGCCCCAGTGCTTTCCAGCTTCAAAGAAAATCTCATTCCAATTCACACAGCACTTGGACAAGTCCCACAAGCTTATATACATGGCAACTTCCCACATGAAAAACAGAGGGGAGAACAAAGGGTCACTTCATCATTCATTTATGCAGCGCATATGCATTGATCTCCTGCAGCATGCCAGGCCCTATGCTAGGCACCAAGGATACAGACGGGGACAAAACCTCTGCCTTCCTGGAGTCTAGGTTCTGGTTGGAGGGAAAAGACAATAAACAGGCACACAGATCATACACAAACAAGCTACGAATAATTTCAGAATTCTATTCTGATGCAAAGGTGGTCGTTAGTGATTGGAGGATTCCCAGCAGGGGTGGGCCATACCCCAATTTACACTGCAAATATTCTGCTTTGGCTCCTGTATGGAGACCGGATTGTGGAGTTATGGTCCAAGTGATGAATGGAAAGCAGAATCATAGGACCCAAAGGAAGTGATGCTGTTCATCTCCTGCCTTCACGAAGCTCTGCCCACTTCAGATGGACATTAGTCTATCATGCTTCCAGAATTCCCAAGGGGCCAGGGAGCCAGGGGTGTCTCTGTCCTCAGAGCAATGGGGCAGAATGAGCATCCACTAAAGCCCCATTGGCAGCCAGAGAAGCAGGCTTCCCCGGAAGGTGCCAGGCTCCACTGTGGAGCCTCCAGAGATTCCTTAATCACAGTCTGAAAAGCAGGCATCTGAAAATGAGACCCAGACTGAGTCCAGGGAAGTAAAGACACCAGGCATGAAACAGCCACTTCTAGGAGCTTGAAATAATTCACTTTAATCCAGTTCTTTTCTTTTCTTTTTTATTGGGGGGGGGGGGTGGGGGAGAACCACCAATTGTTGTTCCATTTATTTATGCATTCATTGGTTGATGCTTGTATGTGCCCTGACCAGGGATCAAACCCACAACCAAGATGATGCTCTGACCAACTGAGCTACCTGGCCAGGGCTTAATCCAGTTATTTTCAACCTCAGCTCTAAGAAGCAGCAAAAATTTGGGAGGAATAATAATGAGTCAATATTTATTGAGCACTTAAGTGGCAAGAATTAACAATTATCATCCCCACCCATTTACGGATGAGGAAATTGAGGACAGGGAGGCAATTAATATTCTTGAGCACCTCTAATGTGAAGTTCTGGCCAAGAACCTTCCTGACATCATCATTTTCAAGGCTCCACAGCTGCCTTGCAAGATGGGCAATACTGTCCCCGTCTCACAGGTGAAGCGCAGGCTCAGGGCTTTAAATACCTTGTCAAAGGCTGGAAAGCAAAAATGGGAGGAGTTCGGGCCCAGCCCAGACTCACTGTACTGTCTTGCCCCACTGCATCCAAAACTGAAGCTGGGGGAACCAGGACAAAAAACAGGTCCTCTGGCTCCTTGGCTATTCTAGCCATTAGATGACTCCACCTGCAAGTGGCAAACAGGAAGCATCAGATGGCTCTGCTCACCAAGGCAATCGCCTGTATATAAGCAAGCCATGCTAGGGCGCAGGGACTGACAATTACAGCAAGCCGCCATTCCCACCGTGAGCATCACTGAACTTCGTGCTAAAGGGGACAAGCCCTGTACCTTGTGACTGCTTCCTCTTCCAGGAATGCCAGCAGAGACCACCACAGCCATTTGCTCCATGATCATGGGTGGAGTGTTCGAGAAGTTTCCTAAACTGAAAGTGTGTTTTGCACATGGAGGTAAGACCCCATCTGTTTTGGTCAGCTCAGCTGCCATAACAAAATACCACCGACTAGGTGGCGTAAACAACAGAAATTAATGTGTTCACGGTTCTAGAGTTCCAAGACCAAGGTGCTGGCAGGGTTGGTTTCCAGTGAGACCCCTCTTCCTGGACTGTAGAAGGCCACCTTCTCACTGTGTTCTCACATGGCCTTTACTCTGTGCATGCACAGAGAGGGAGAGAAAGGGAGGGAGAGAGGGGGCAGGAGGGAGGGAGGGAAGAGGAGGGAGGGAGGGAAAAGGAGAGAGGGAGGGAAGGAGGGAGGGAGATCATTCTGCTGTCTCTTCCTCTTCTTATGAGGACACCAGTCCTATCAGATTAGGGTCCTACTTTATGACCTCATTTAGCGTGAATTATCTCCTTTAAGGCCCTATCTCCTAACACAGTCACACTGGGGGTTAGGGTTTCAACATATGAATTTAGGAGGGACACAATTCAGTTCCTAACATCCTTCCAGTAATCATTCTAGTCATAAAGTATATGATGGTTCAGGGGACCAAATTCCATTTTTGCAGACAAGTTTAGTTTGATTGGCACAGTTTTTGCTTTATTTTATTTTGATTTGTTTTGATTTAAATCTCTGTCAGACTACAAGCTGTCCAGTTTGCAATAATCCCTACCATTCACTATTGTTTAAAATAGACCTATTTTATTCATTTACACTTCCTGCTTGGTCTCTGTAAGTAATTGAGTTTGTGACTCTTGGACACACAGACACACACAATCAAACTCCTCGTGCTGCTCTCTAATTTTTTTTCCTTCTCACCAGCATATAGAGCAGTGATGGCGAACCTATGACACGCGTGTCAGAGGTGACATGCAAACTCATTCTTCTGGTTGATTTTTCTTTGTTAAATGACATTTAAATATATAAAATAAATATCAAAAATATAAATCTTTTTTTTACTATGGTTGCAAATATCAAAAAAATTTCTATATGTGACACGGCACCAGAGTTAAGTTAGGGTTTTTCAAAATGCTGACACTTTCAAAAGGTTCGCCATCACTGATATAGAGACATCTTCCAGGTCAATAAGTACAGAGCTTCATCATTTTTTGATTGTTGCAAGCATAGCAATACATTTTAAGATATTATAATTATTATTTAGATATTCCCTAACTGATAGGTTGCCTCAGTATTTTGCTCATGTGACCACACCACATTTGAAAACTTTGACTACATATCTTTACACACTTGTCTTCTCTCGTTAGGATAAATTCTTCAACTCTGCATTTCTAGATGAGTTCCTGTGGGTTCTTCTGGGTCATCTCTCAGCATTTGGAACCCAGTAGGTCCTTTGTTAACCAGCTGGGCTATAGTAACTTTTCTTTGCATAAAACATGAGGATTAAAAGGAATCCTTCTCAGCTCTGGCCAGCTGGTTGGAGCGTTGTCCCATACACCAAAAGGTCATGGGTTTGATTCCGAGTCAGGACGCATGCCCAAGTGCAGGTTCAATCCCCATTGGGAGGCAACCAGTTGATGTTTTGCTCTCACATCTATGTTTCTCTCTCTATCTTTCTTCTCCCTCCCTCCCCCTCTCTCTAAAATCAATAAAAAGGATTCCCTTTCAATCAAAGCAAGCCCTCAGTAATGGGTTTTACTTGCAGGTGGAGCCTTCCCCTTTACAGTAGGAAGAATCTCCCATGGATTCAGTGTGCGCCCAGATCTGTGTGCCCAGGACAATCCAATCAACCCAAGGAAGTATCTTGGTTCCTTTTACACAGACTCCTTGGTTCACGATCCCCTGGCCCTCAAGCTGTTAACAGATGTCGTGGGAAAGGTAAGCTGGGTCTACCATCTGGATGGCTTCTAGAGAGCAGAGTGCAGGATCAGCAACCAATTACTTGGTATCTCTCAAAAAGGGGAGGGGGGCATGGAAGAAAAGGTAACTGAAGAAAAGAACAGGGACAGTGAAATTTGGAATTAGGCTTGTTTGCACAGGGGGTGCTATGCAAATCATCCTTCACCAGAGAGTATGCATCTCCAGGGAACCATTGTATATGCCAGGGAAATCCCAGATAATCCAGATGGCCAGGAATTCCCCAGATCAGCTCCTCTTTTTTAGGGTCATCTCTGTGCCCATTCAAAATGACACTTTGTGATGTAGTACGCAGAAGAGAACCAACAGTTTTGAAGTCCAATTGCCCTGGGTTAAGATCCTGGCTCTGCCTCTCACTGATAGGGTAAATTGTGAGCCTAACTGTCCTCACTCACTCAGTAAAGAAAACTGGAACATTAAAGAGGGGGAAATGGACCACCTGAAATTTCTTCCTGAAACAGCATGGCCTGCATTTTGAAAAGGATTCTCTCATTTGGAAAAAGACCAGCACAGTAGTACTTTAAATCTCACAAGAAAAACATCTTTCCTCCCTTATAACCTGCTAGCTGCTCTCTCTGTTGGCAGCATCTCCACCCTTAAGTATTCTCTGAAAATGCTAACTTGGCAAATTATGACAATTTTAGAGCAAGGACCAGTCTGATTAGTGAAAAGTCTGAAATAGTTTTTCAATTCTGCTGTATTACTGACAGATATCTGTGGGAGGTTTCCAGATTTTCCCAAGGAAATCAAATATTTGGGGTTTTCTAAAAGAACATGAACATACTTAAAGATTTGCAACATGGTACTTGGCTGTAGAGGAGACACAAAGGCAAGCATTTAAATCTTGTTTAGCAGAAAAAGAGGCCCATCTGAAAGGTGCAAGTAGTGTTCTCTCTCCAGCATGGAGACTTCATCTCGCTGCGGGGCTGACTGCCTCTCTGCTGGAGAAACTGCCTAGAACATAAAAGTTACACATTCCGGTTTGATAATAAATTATGTGCTGAGATGTGTTTCTGAGCCTTCGAGCTTTTGTGTTGTCCCTGGCAAAACGGATTCTTAGCAGCTGGTTGTAACTGAGAATTATTTTTAGTTTGGACAGAGGGGTTAGGGGCAGGTGTGCACACAGGAAACTGCAAAGAGGAGATGCTGAGAGACTGTGAGCTCTGGCCTTTGAGCAACGGAGGAGGGGGATTGGGATATGGGGTGGAATTTGGGAAAGGGTCATTTCTACTTCCTCCCATCAAGCCTAGTACCCCCTGGTTTTCTTGGAAATGGCAAAACCAGGGGAAAACACCCCTGGCAAATACAGCACTGACCTTATAAGGGATACCACCCACAGTGAGGCATACTCTCAGCATGAGGGATACTTCAAACAGCATTCAGGGCGATACGTATTGGCCAGGGGTCAGAGCAGAAGTGGAAGAACATGGCAAAAGCCTTTGGATAGACAAGGTAATGAGCACATAGGAGTCCTTCTTAGGGACCCACAGAAAAACTCAGAGGGCACTTTGCAAAGTTAGAGAGCTTACATTCAAATTGTGAAGATTGGAGCCATTATAATTTGGGCATCCAAAACAAATATGACCTCGTTTTATAAGGCCTCACAGTCTCGTGAACCAGGACATGTAAGCAGTATCTATAGTGATGCTAATTAGACCTGATGTTCTTCCGGACATCCTTCTCGACAGCTTTCCAGACGAAGCCGGGGCTGTGAGGGAAGCCCGGTCCCGGGTGCCAGACAGAAGCCGCTGGCAGCCAGGGGAAGGAAGGCCTACTCTTGCATGAATTTCGTGCATCGGGCCTCTAGTATGTTAATAATTTAGGATTCTCTTTAGAAGACTAATGCTTCCTCATTCCAGTTATATTCACATGAGCAAATCTCTCAAAAACAATCCCTAAACCAAAATGGCTGAGGAAAGTCCTAGCATAGCGGCTGGGCGAGAAAGCCACTGTCCAGATTAGATTGAGAGGGCTAATGCTGTGGAGGGAGGCCTCCAGGCCAGGGAAAAGGAACTGATGGGATATTTGATGTGTTTGAGAAGTTGAAGCAATGACTGCCAGGCATGCAACAGATCTGTTGATGCATTAGGGACAAACAAATAGTACGTGCACAGAAAATTAAGCAAATGAAAGAAAAGGAAATAACTCCAAGAAAACAAACATCCATATCACAGCAGATAACCATTGTACATTGTTTAATCAGCAGTGAACAATACTTACAGTCATAATAGTGTAAGTACTAACTACTGGTTTAAATAAAAATTGTAATTCTATCAGGAAAATGGAGAAAAAAAAGTTGAGTAAGAAAGAAAAGCTCGTTTTCTCACAGCCACTTGGCCTGGAGGTCAAATCCCCCCTAGTATTAGCTACAACAATCAAGGCGTAACTACAAGACTGCGCACAAAGACCACTAGGGGGTGCACCAAGAAAGCATAACAAAATGCGGAGACAAAGAAACAGGACAAAATTGTCAATGGAAGATAGAGAGTTCAGAACTACACTTTTTTTTTTTTTAATATATTTTATTGATTTTTTACAGAGAGGAAGGGAGAGAGATAGAGAGTTAGAAACATCGATGAGAGAGAAACATCGATCAGCTGCCTCCTGCACATCTCCTACCAGGGATATGCCCGCAACCCAGGTACATGCCCTTGACCGGAACCGAAACTGGGACCTTTCAGTCCACAGGCCGACGCTCTATCCACTGAGCCAAACCGGTATCGGCAAGAACCACACTTTTAAGGTCTCTCAAGAACTGTCTAGAAGCCGCCGATAAACTTAATGAGATCCTCGAGAAATCTAATGAGACCCTCGATGTTGTGATAAAGAACCAACTAGAAATTAAGCATACACCGACTGAAATAAAGAATACTATACAGACTCCCAACAGCAGACCAGAGGAGCGCAAGAATCAAGGCAACGATTCGAAATGCGAAGAAGCAAAAAACACCCAACCAGAAAAGCAAAATGAAAAAAGAATCCGAAAATACAAAGATAGTGTAAGGAGCCTCTGGGACAGCTTCAAGCGTACCAACATCAGAATTACAGGGGTGCCAGAGGATGAGAGAGAGCAAGATATTGAAAACCTATTTGAAGAAATAATGACAGAAAACTTCCCCTACCTGGTGAAAGAAATAGACTTACAAGTCCAGGAAGCACAGAGAACCCCAAACAAAAGGAATCCAAAGAGGACCACACCAAGACACATCATAATTAAAATGCCAAGAGCAAAAGACAAAGAGAGAATCTTAAAAGCAGCAAGAGAAAGAAACTCAGTTACCTACAAGGGAATACCCATACGACTGTCAGCTGATTTCTCAACAGAAACTTTGCAGGCCAGAAGGGAGTGGCAAGAAATATTCAAAGTGATGAATACCAAGAACCTACAACCAAGATTACTTTATCCAGCAAAGCTATCATTCAGAATTGAAGGTTAGATAAAGAGCTTCACAGATAAGGAAAAGCTAAAGGAGTTCATCACCACCAAACCAGGATTATATGAAATGCTGAAAGGTATCCTTTAAGAAGAGGAAGAGGAAGAAAAAGGTAAAGATACAAATTATGAACAACAAATATGCATCTATCAACAAGTGAATCTAAGAATCAAGTGAATAAATAATCTGATGAACAGAATGAACTGGTGATTATAATAGAATCAGGGACATAGAAAGGGAATGGACTGACTATTCCTGGGGGGGAAAGGGGTGTGGGAGATTTGGGAAGAGACTGGACAAAAATCGTGCACCTATGGATGAGGACAGTGGGTGGGGAGTGAGGGCGGATGGTGGGGCGGGAACTGGGAGGAGGGGAATTATGGGGGGGGGGGGAAGAGGAACAAATGTAATAATCTGAACAATAAAGATTTAATTAAAAAAAAAAAAGAAAGCCGAAACCGGTTTGGCTCAGTGGATAGAGCGTCGGCCTGCGGACTGAAGGGTCCCAGGTTCGATTCCGGTCAAGGGCATGTACCTGGGTTGCGGGCACATCCCCAGTAGGAGATGTGCAGGAGGCAGCTGATCGATGTTTCTCTCTCATCGATGTTTCTGACTCCCTATCTCTTTCCCTTCCTCTCTGTAAGAAAATCAATAAAATATATTAAAAAAAAAAAAAGAAAGAAAGAAAAAGAAAGAAAAGCTCAATAATTATAACGGGAAGTCAGTACTCTCCACAGCGGTTCTCAACCTGTGGGTCGCAACCCCTTTGGGGGTCGAGCGACCCTTTCACAGGGGTCGCCTAAGGCCATCGGAAAACACATATATAATTACATATTGTTTTTGTGATTAATCACTATGCTTTCATTATGTTCAATTTGTAACAATGAAAATACATCCTGCGGAGAAACTAAGATGGCGGCATAGGGAAACACCGAAATTGCTGCCTCCTACAACAACTTCAAAACACAATAAAAAGACAAAACAGACATCATCCAGAACTTACAGGAAGGCTGGCGGAGTGGAAATTCTACAGCTAGAAGGAAAGAGAAAAGCACATTGAGGGTCAGGGGCTGCGGAAGTAATGTGCAAAGGTACGGAGGCTCAAGAGTGCGCGGAAAGGGGCTGGTACCTGAGGATGCGGCTGTCTTTTTGAATCGGGAGGGAGTCACAAGCGCCCGACTGCTCTGAACTCCGGTTCTGGGAAGTCTCTGGGGACCCAGGACTCATATGGGGAGAAACTGGACTGTCTGGCAGCGGGTAGAACTCGGAACTCGAGGGCAGCTTTCCCTCAGAGGTGCTTGCAGCAATTAAATTATCAGGACACTGAGACACGCGCAGCCCCTTAGGGCAGGGCTGAGAATCCTCCATAGTTCCTTGCTCTGCCCTTTGATTCCCTGAGACCCCGCCCCACCCAGGCTGTGGCAGAGGCTTTTGCATATGAATGCCCTGGCCCTTTGCAACCTGAAAATTACCTAACAAACTGCAGCGGGGCCACAGACCCAGAACTTCCAAGAGAAGGCCCAAGGC